CTATTCTCATAATATAATTTGCATAATTGGGTACATCTTGATTATTATAGAGTAATAACCGAGAGGTGCTTTATTTATAGGTAAAAAAGAGCACCATTAAAGTGATTATAAATATACAGAGTATAGGTGCTATGTGCGTGGAGAACATAGATATCTTCAAAGAGACTTTTCAAATCGAAGCCCAACACATAATTAACATCAATCTGCAAGTGTGGATAGATTATAAAGGGAGATAAAAAGACTCATTTAGTTTAGAGTGAGTACTAGTAGAGGTCAACCTCAAGTACAAGCTAAAAGGACTTAGTGGAGGGTCTGTATTATAAATCAGAAAGATATTACAATCTAACTAAATATAGTGACATGTATGATAACATTAAATTCTCAAAATATATATGCTTTACTTAATTTAAAAATCACATATTATTTTGTATCTCATAAATTTTCTAGTAAACTGAATGTACCAAAATACAAGTTGAATAAATGGCTAGCAATTATTATACCTTTATAAAAAAACAATACATATTGATGATGTGTATAAAAGGTGTGCTATAGTTTTAGGGGTCATAGTATAAAGGTGAACTTGATACCTTTAAAAATATATAATTTTGATAATATATTAGGAATTGATTGGTTTAGTAAACATCATGCTAGTAGGAATTTTTTTATAAAGACAATAACATTTAAGGTAGCAATATGAGAAAAAAGTTGATTTTATGGGTGGAAGATGAATAGTGCTAAATTGTATCATTTTAGTGATCATTGTAAGGAGATTGATGATAAAGGGACATGATGCCTACTTAACATATGTTGGAGATTCGAGAAAGACAACATTAAGTTGTCAGATGTGCTAGAGGTGAAAGAATTCTTTGATGTCTTCCCTGATGAGTTACTAAGACTATCCTTAAGATGAGAGATAAAAGTCTTAATAGAAGTGATTTCATGAACTATACCTATCTCTTAGTCCTATTATAGAATAACTCTAATAGATTTGAGGGAGTTAAAATTACAACTGTAAGAATTACTATACAAAATATTTATCTAACCTAGCAATTCAACTTAGGGTGCCTCAATAGTGTTTATAAAAAGAATGATAGGACTTTCCAACTCTATATTAATCACAAACAATTGAATAAAGTAATGTTTGAAAAAAATATATCTTCTTTCATGGATTAATGATTTGTTTGATTAACTAAGAAAGACACATGTATTTTCAAAGATTGATTTGAGATCGAGGAGTCACTAGATGAGGATAAAGGAGGAAGTTTTTTACAAGTCTACTTTCAAAACCCTTTATGGGCATTTTGAATTTCTAGTAATGCTTTTTAGGTTAACAAATACCCTATCAATGTTCGTGGATTTGATGAATCAGGTCTTTTGATCATTTATGGACAAATATATTATGACATTTATTTATGATATTATGGTTTATTCTAAAAGTCAAGCGAATCACAAACAACATTTAAAAACAGTGTTACAAATTTTAAAAGAAAATCATTTGTAAGTTAAGTTAAATAAGTATGAATTTTTGCCTGATAATGTCATGTTTTTGGGGTATAATATATATGTAAAAGGTATATATGTGGACCTGAAAAAGGTGGAAACGATTCTAAGATGGAAAAGGCCTAGGAATGTAACATAAATTCATAATTTTATACCAGATTCACTCCAATGATTTGATTAATAAAGAAATAAGAATAATTTAAACAATCAAGATAGTGTGAAAGTGGTTTTTGAGAATTGAAAAAAAAAAAAACTTTAACCATAGTATTGACCTTTTCTAAAAGATAAGAAGGTTTTATAGTGTACAATGATGCCTTTAATAAAGACCTTGGATGTGTGTTGATATAGGAAGATGGTAGTATATGCTTCAAGACAACTGAAAAAAGCATGAAATAAATTATCCAATATATAATTTAGAGTTAGCAATAATTATTTTTTGCACTAAGAATTTAGATGCTTTAAAAAAATTGAACAGAAAAGTTTAACCATAAGAATTAAACATGCATAAGAGAATATAAGTAGAGTTAATTATGAATTATAATTACATCACTAGTTACTATTTTGAAAAAGGTAAATATTAGAACAAATGCCTTAAGCTAAAAAGGCAAGTCTATAATGAGCAGTTTACAAATTCAAAATCAATTTTTAAAATTCTACAAAAAGTAAGTACAATTATGTCTAGGTTTCAAAGGATCTTTGTTAGCATGGATAATAATGAGATCAATGCCATGTGATAAGATTTTAAAGGCCCATCATAATGAAGCAGAAGTAAAAGAAGATTAAGTTTATAATGAAATTATAAGATGAAACACATTTTTGGATTATGGAAAATAATATCCTTTAAAAGGTGAATATATCTTCTAAATGATGATATGTTGAATGAATAAATATTAAGAGGGGCTCATGAATAACTATTTATAATCTATCAAAAGATTATTATTGGTCACCTAATATGAAGAAATAGATAACAAAATGGGTAGTGAAGTGCGTTATTTGTCAACAAGTAAAAACTAATTATCAAAAACTAGTTGGAAAATTACAGCTTCTTCTAGTGCCAAGATAAAAATGAGAGGACATCACCATGAATTTTGTGTTGGGTATTCTAAATAGTAATACAAGAAACACTACAATTTGAATAGTTTTTGATTGACTAAGTCTGCTTTGTTTTTACCTATAAAAATAATGGATATGATGGACAATTTGGTTGAGTTATATATCAATGAAATGGTTAGGTTATATATAGTTGTGGTGTCCATTGTATCTTTTTAGGATATTTAATTTGCATTTAGTTTGTGGTCGAGTATACAACTTGTTTTGGGGAAAAAAAGTTAAAAATAATTATAATGTTCCATCTTCAAACTAATAGATAGTTAGATATGACTATTCAAATACTAGAAGACCTAATAAGATCTTTTACTCTTGATTATAGAGAAACCTAGGAAAAACACTTATCATTAGTGAAATTTACTTATAATAACAATAAATATGAAACTAGTAGGGTTAGATCTGATACAAATAACTATAGATAAGATCCAATGATTAGAGGAGGAATGAAAAAAGCCAAAATAGATAAAAAAGTTAAGTTGAAAATTAGAGAAGACTTTTAGAATTTAAAATAGGGGATCAAGTATTCTTAAAGATTATGTCCTAGAAGAATGTAATTTGATTCGGGAAGAAAAAGAAGTTGGTACTAAGATATATCAATCCCTTTAAAATTATAGATAGTATTGGACCAATATATTTATCAGTTAACATTGTCGGTCTATTTATTAAAGATATATGATGTGTTTCATATATTTCTACTTTGGAATGTAGAAGTGAATCCTTCGTAAGTTTTACCACAAGTGTCAAAAGAAATATAAGATTTAACACTTGATGTTATGCCAATAAAGTTTATTGACCGAGGAAATTGTGAAATAAAGCGGTATCCTTTATGAAGGTAATGTGAGGAAACTCTAAGTAAAATAAAAGACTAATTTTGAGGAGAAATTAATGTAACTTGCAATAAAAATAATTAAATTAAGAGAATTTCTTCTTTTTCTTCCGGGCATGATATCGATGATTCATTTTTTTAATTGGTTATTGCTAATTTTTTTTTTATGGTTCATCTAAAAATTTTTAGATTGGCCTACAATGTAGTGCAGATTACTGATCTAGCATATATTTAGAACTTGGTTTTTTACTGTAGCAATAAACAGTTAAAAACGAAGTCCATTTTCATTTTAGTACTTATTTTGTATTTTTAAATTTCATCATTCATTGGGTTTACTAGGTATTGAACTTCATAATTTTTTTTTATGGAGTTATTTTGGTATTGTGACTTAGGTCGCGAGTTTTGTGGGTTAGATATGTTGACTCAAGTTATTTTTTTAATTACATTTTTTTCATAACTTTATTTTTCAATATTGAATTGATTAAAAATTAGATTTTATAATTATTTTCTTATTTGGTTTCTATGAGGTTATCATGATCTCATGACTCGGACAACGAGTTTTGTAAGTTAATCATGTTAGCTCTGGATATTTTTGTGTCTTTTTTGAATTAATTTTTTTCAACTTCATCCTTCAACATTGTGTTTATTAAGAATTATTCTTTCTATATTATCATGGTTTCATGACCACAATTAAGATTTTTTTGTGCTAGCCAGGTTGACTCGATTTTTTTAATGGTTTTTTAATTGATTTTTTAATAAAATTTATCCATCAAAACTGAATTAATTGGGAATTGAACTTTATATTTTATTTCTATCGAGTTATCCTGATTTCTTGACCTAGATTTGACAAATTAATCCGGGTTGATAATAGTCATATTTTTGTCATTTTTAGTTGATTTTTTTTTAATTTTATCCTTCAATATTGGGTTGATTGAAAATTAGACTTCATAATTTATTTTGATTTGTGTTTAATAAGATTATCTCTGTCTCATTATCTGAGTCACGAACTTAGTCGATTGACTCTGGTTTTTTTTTTTTAATTAAGTTTTTGTAATTTCATCATTTCATATTGAGTTGATTAATGATTAAGCTTTGATTTTTTATTTGCTTTTTATTTAATTATTTTGATCTTATAATTTATGTTTGACAAGTTAACCTGATTGATTTTATTTATTTTTTAGTTGAATTTTATTTTTACATATCATATTGATTAAAAATTAAATTTAATAATTTTATTAGTATATTTTTAATAAAATTATTAAGATTTTATGACTTGATAATAGATTTAACAGTTTAATATAAATTAATGAGTGTAAATTGTATTGTTTTTTTAACAATTTTTTTTTAATGTTTTTAAATAAAAATATATTTTTATGGCTTGTTGAAATTGTTTTTTAATCTAACAAATCAATGACATTTTATCGGACTCGGGCATTGATATAATAATACCCTCAACAAAAAGGGGTTTTCTGATACAGCAAAGTGATAGGATAACTCTGTACTCTGGTTTCTCTCTCAGAACTCTCATGTGCTGTTTCCAGAGAAAAGCTGAGAGAGGGACAGAAAGAGGACAGCAGCTCTGCAAGCTAATTCAATCTCCCTTACATGTTGAAGATTTGTTTATTATATTTTGGCTTTCTTTTTACTCTTACCTGTCTTGTCTGACTGTCATTTCTCAAGTGCCCCCGAAAGGTTGGTCCATCTTGTCAGAACTCACTCTGGCCTGCCATAATACCAAACAAAGAAGCCGATGTGAGAGCTTTTGCAAGCATTCTCAACACGCAAAGACCAAACAAAGCTATATTAAAAACCAAGTAAGTCTATCTCTCCATGGACTTCCATCTGAAGCAATGGAGAAACCAGCATGAGGAGTCAGGGCAACAACCCTCTGCAAAGATGCCAAAACTCCTCATGGATCCCCATCAACCACAACAACATCCACACTCATCTGGGTCTGTTGCCTTCCCTTTGTTTCTACCTGAGCCCAGCTGCAAAACCAGTAACCTGTCAGCATTTCCTGATTCAAGCACAGCTGCATACACCAGACTTCCTAGTAAGTTTACTCTTGACTTTTCTTGCACCCCCCTCTTCCTCACCTAATTAAAGAAAGTTTCATGGTTTGCTTCAAATGTAACGTGCTCAATTTACTCCCTTCATCAATTATAGTTGATGTGAGTTTCTTTTCCTTCTTCTTTTGTGAATGGTGCTTGTTCTACTTGTTAGAGATCATGGGGAATTACTTTAGCCTGGAACAGTGGCAAGAGCTAGAGCTGCAGGCTTTGATCTACAGATTTATGTTAGCCGGTGCAGCTATTCCTCCGGAGCTCCTCCAACCAATCAAGAAAACCCTTCTTCGTTCTCACTCTCCTCCATATTTCCTCCGTCATCCTCTTCAACTATATTATCAGCCATCTTGTAAGCGCTTATAACCAAAACCTCTCTAAAAAAATGCGGAGTTGTTGTGGTTATATAGTTAACTAATTACTGTTTGCCCATATATATCAACGTGGTTTAATATCGTCAGTACGTAGTATTGCAAACAGGGTATTGGGGAAGAGCAGCCATGGATCCGGAGCCAGGTCGGTGCCGGAGAACAGATGGGAAGAAATGGCGGTGCTCCAGAGACGTGGTGGCAGGGCACAAGTATTGCGAGCGCCACTTGCACCGTGGCCGCAACCGTTCAAGAAAGCCTGTGGAAAATCCCTCACCTACAATATCCACTAACATCACTTGCTTTGGTATTGGAGATGTGGGTGGTACCGCATCAGCTTCTGCTTTCAATTGCAGTACCACACCAACCATATCAGAGGTGGTCAATGGGACTCGTTTTTCGCATACACTAGAATCCCCTTCCATTCATCTCAATCATAGGTAATCTTGCTGCCAGGCTTTAATTTAATGATTTAATAACCTCATCAAAGATATTCTTGTGGACGATCCTCTGGATTTAAGAAACTAGTTTAAGCAGAATTTTCAACTAACTAGGAGGAAACATGATTATGGAATCTCTAATATTGTCCTTAATTGATGGGACCGGCCTGTTTAGAAATGCTAAATATGTCTCCAACTGAAAGAATTGGACTGCAAGCTACCTTTTCATTGTTTTGTTTTTGCTTTAACTTCTTGCTCACCCTTATTGCAGCTCCAAAACTGAAAGCAAGGGCGTAATTGGACTACCACCTCCAAATGAGGTTGGTAACAGGTCTGATGGTCATATTCTGTGGCATTTTTTTGACGACTGGCCACGATCCGTTGATGAATCCGACAATATTAATGCTGGAAGCTCAACGAACTCTTTAACCTGCCTCTCCGTTTCAATGCCTGGAAACTCACCAGCATCAGATGTGTCACTGAAATTGTCCACTGGGAATAATACTGCAGAGGAGGAGCCGGAGCCTGAGCCGGAGCCATCCCCGATCCCTAGAGACAATACAAGCAATTGGGCAGGTGCAGGATGGGGCACAAAAATTACAAACCAGGTGGTGACTTCAATGGGGGGCCCTCTTGCTGAGGCGCTGAGGTCCTCCACTACCAAACTCATCTCCCACGAATGTTCTGCACCAGTTGTCTCGCCCCACTGTTTCTGAAACTTTGATTTATTTTAGGTTAGTTTGTGGTGTAGTAACAGAGGCACGCACACACACCCACGCACCCACACATCCATCAATACGTGCATTAACTAATAATGCTGGGTTTTCTGGTTGCTACGGACATCCTAGTCAAAATCTTTCAGTGGACGGTGTTGTGTTTATTTGATTGAAACCATGCCATGATTTGTTAGTTATGTTTAATGTGGTAAGAGCCGAGGCTCCTTTTCATCTGACGGCGTAGACATGCATGAAGTTGAGGCAAAATCAGGTGCCCGGTCATTTCATCCGTATATAGGCTTGTAGCTGCAGCCTTCCAGGTTATCTATCTTAAATCAGCTCATGCCATCACCCCTTATGGTTTAAATCTCACCACTAAAAATTCAATGACCTGAATTAAATGAAAAATAATTTGTTGCCATTTATCATGTAATAAATCATTTTCATTCAGTCTAAATTATTTAAATTTAATAATTTAGATTTAAGGAGCAGAAAATGGTGGCCTGGAAACACATGCCTCGTTTCAAGCAACTACCTTTTCTGGCCATGGCTATGGTAACCAGAAGCGATGGCTGTTCAAAACTCCATGAAAGAAAAAACTGCTACTTCCCTAGTACATAAAAAAAGGTTAAAAAGGCCAAGCTTCTGCAAACATAGAAACAAAATGAGACTGGTCAGGCAACACGCATGAAAATCAAAATCAAAATCTCCAAATTGAATAGCCACCCGATGACTGCTACCTTCACGAGTGCCATTAATCAGCACAACACTCACATGAGAAAAACTAATCAGACAATAACATTTTATTATAAATGCACCATTATTTACAGGAGCATCACAATGTGCCTATACAAGAAGAGGCCTGCTTTGAACTTGGAAGGGCACGATGACTTGACCAGCAAATACTACACAGTTGTCAGACAAAATTCTCTACATGTTCAACATTGTTTGGTCTTCTTTTGATCCACTGATTAACAATTCGCATGATCTCTGCCTTAGCTCGTTTTTCTTGGTTGTGCTTGGATGACAAAATGCTGGCTGGCGACGGCACTAGGATTGACTTAAATCATGGTCCTCCATGTACTATGTCGATTGAAGATGCCTGATGCCCATCCTAAATCGAGAAAGGCTCTGTTGAGATCAGTATCAGCCCTCAGCAGGTTCATTTTCACTCTCAGCAGGTTCCAATTCATCCTCCACCAGAGCATAGACCACAGCCGTTCTACTTGGTGCATACACCAGGAAGGAACGAGGTCGGTCATCATACCACCCTTCCTGCACAATCACCACATAAATGCTGACAACTATTCTAATATTTACAAGGAAATGCCTGGTCGAAGATTGATGAGGATGAAACTTAAATTCAGGTAACAAACTTGAGAGAATTTTCTTACTGAGGTGAAGTACTCAGCATCCTGATCAAGCCTTTTGAAGCCTCCAAACAATGGATCATCAGAATCTAAAACAATCTGCAAGCAAAAATCAAAATGTGTTTTATAAATATAAGTTTAAAATTTGAGGCAAACTAGCACAGCATGAGGCGTCAACTAGATTTACAAGTTCTAAAATGCTGGGATTTACTGGATATCTATAAAAAGAACTGAACTGAATTGGAAGCTTACACATTCCTCAACATAGATTACTCAATACTGAGCATACAAAAGGAAAGGCACAATTAGCACTGTTGATTTTGTTTTTTTAATGTTCATAACCTTTATTACTTGTGCAAGCATATAGAAAAGGATACAGAGAATACCTTGTACTTCCCTGGCTTTAAGCAGCCTACTCGGTAATCTGAATAGCTGTTGGTCCAATGAAAATTAAAGACAAAAACCAAGTTCCCTCTTTCAAAGACAATAACTCGATCCCCTTCGTTTTTCCGTGATATATATTGGTGCTCAGATGTCATGAACTGCAAAAACAGTAACCATTTAAGCCTTACATTTTTAATTTATTTTTCACATTTATCTTAAATTTTGCAAGCACAGGGTAGCAAACACGTAGATTTGCTGGTTAGGTATTTCATGCCTATAATCGAAATGGAAATGAAGGTGAAAATGATCCTTTGTTGGGGATGGGGTTCAACAATCTAAATTAAGCACCAAAGATAAAGCAATTTGAATGACAGATATAGTCAGCTAATTTTCAGTTGTGTAAAACTCTAAATTCCAAGCCAAGAGAAGTGAACAGGAACAAAACAAATTGGGAAATGAAGTACATTTAAAAAGACTTTAATATGTGGAATACTTTTAAATGTGAGCAATCTGCTTAAACCGTAGCTGTTTCACAAGCAAGATGGATAATCTTTTTTCTAACCTGTGTTAGAGTTAAAATAGCTTGTCAATTCATTTTTAAAATAGGTAGTCAAGTGTAACAGTTAAAAAGAACAGTAACCAGTGTGTTTCAAGACCTAGAAACAAAAGTTGAATTTTCTTATGAAAAGAGAAAAATATTGGTCATTGTTTGAAAATATGTTACAATTGGAATGTGGTATGGTGGGGACATGATTTGAAATGATTTTAACTCTCTTACAGGTTACTGAGATATGCTTTGCTTTGCAGTATCTTGCAGAGATTTGAAACCATGTGATACAAGTAAATAATTGCAGGCTTCCAACATCTCAGCCCACATACATGAAATAGAAAAAACGAATCAAGCTAGAATATGGAGAAACTGGCTCCTTTACCTTGCTTAATATGAGATGCATTCAAGCAAATAAATAAATATAAGTTAATAATCCATACATGCAGCTCACCAGCAGCCAAAACTATGCTAAATGACAGTATGATAGGAACTTACACCATAGATTTCTTCAAGATGCTGCATTGCCTGATCAAATTCTTGCATTCCATGATATCTTAGATAATCTGCATCCCCCTGGGCATGCATGAAAAATCAACACATGTCAGATGTGCATAAATTCCAGAAACCATAGTGGAAGAGCTACTTTGATTCAACAATTCTTAAAATTCCTCATGGGTTCATCAGTTTGTTTTTCTAGCGCAAGTAATGGTTATTAAGACCAACACCTTTTCAAGCTTCAATTGAGCCAAGAATAAACTGCAATGGTCAGATTAGGTTTCAAAATCAGGCATAAACTTACTAGATCAAATCTGCGCCGGCATTTATCATAACTGTGATTATTGCCTGGAATAATTTCACCAGTAGGAAGGTGCTGATCGCCCCTTGGGAAATCAATCCACTCTGAGAAAAATAAAAGTAAAGTACACCGACATAATAAAAGCTACCAATTTAATAAAAATTCATTAAATGATGATAGAACCAATAAGAAACATTAAAGAATAGTAATAACCATGGTAATAAAATTCATAAATATTCTTACCAGGGTGTCCAAACTCATTTCCCATAAAATTCAAATATCCTTCTCCTCCTAAACCCATGGTAATAAGCCGGATCATTTTGTGCAATGCTATTCCACGATCTATAAGAGGAGTTGATGGTCTATCAAGAGCCATGAAGTCGTACATATCCTGAGACAAATGGAGAATTAGAAGACTGATTTTCAGCTTGATAAAACATAGGGTATTATGATGTGGAGTAGGAAGAAAAACAGCAAAATATAGTAGAAAATGGTAAATTTTTTAATAACTTGGGAGTTTGTAACTTTAGGGATCACTGCTCTATAGGAAAACGTTTATATATAAAGCAAAACGAAATGGTGTCTCATCCCAAGCATTTAACATTTTATGTTTTTTTCCTCATGCCAAGTGTTTAAGATGAAATAGAATGACATGTTTTCCTTTGATAAATACAAATAAAATGACACATTTTGGACTCCCTAAATAGTAACATCCTAATGGTTCAAGCAGTGTGCCTACAAAAAACAAATTGTATTATTGACATAACACTATAATTGAAAGGGATCAAGCCTACAATTACTCTACAACTTCAAAAACTCTATCAATTTAATGGTCATATAGAAGATAGATGTAGATCTATTCAAATTTTAAAGGTTTAATGGCGAGCCCTAAACTTTACTATCTTGTTCCAGCGTCAATATCCTTCTAGTTTTAGCCATAACACTGCTGAATTTTCTGTTTCTATTGTTTTCCTCTTGCCACCCTGCATCGAATGATTGGCACATGAGCTTTTGGAAGAATTTATATTTTCCTTGGTAATTTTAGTGTTGTTGTTTAGTTTAGGAATCCTCTAGTTATTTGGGTTTTTCAATTTTCATGCAACTTTGAAATGTGATTCACTCTATAAGGATCAGGATTTAGACTTGGAACTAATATAAATAAGGTTGCTTTGGCTAATTTACAGGCATCTTTTATTTCCTATAAATATACTGTAGAGGTTTCTCTACAAACCAGCAAATCAATGTTTATAAGTTTGAGCTTCAATTTTCTTATAGTTTTAGCCCATTATATCTGCAGTAAGTGCTGGTTTCCTCCTCACCCTACTTCAACTCTGAAGAAAGTACTCTGATAAAATAAGATGAATAAAGAAAGCTAATCCCTAGATATATACACCAGATGCAAAAAGTCTTCTTGCTAGAGTCAAGTTCTCCAAGGGGATTGCAAAGAAAAGTTTGTTTTCCTTACTGATTTTGGTGTTCTCTTTTAGTTTCACAAATCCTTATGCTATTTAGATCTAGTTATGTATATCTAACATTTGATGATAGTAGTCAACTAGGATTTGTGGCAATTTCTATTCCTACAATGGTTATAACTAGAATAAATAGGCTATTAGAGGTATTGTAGAAGACAAATCAGTTTAATTAATATTTACAATAGTTAGAATTTCTACAAACCCTGCACCTCATTCTCTTCTTCAAACTTTAAACTTGTTCAAATGTTAACCATTATTTTTCTGTTCTACCTACTGCATCATTTCTCCCACAGGTGTTGACAGTCAAGTGAAAAACAATATTCTCCAATAAACATGTGCATAAATTTTGATTATGGAATGATATGGGAAAGAACTCATATAACCTTGTCCATCAACCAGAATGCAATGGTCTTGTCACCAACAAGAGCTTGGTCATGACTTTCAGCATACGAAACGCACTTTTCCAGCCACCTTCTGTTAGTGAGAGTGTGTACAATGTCACCCATTCTCCACTCTTCATCCTTCTTCCTACACCCAGTACAAATAGAAAGTGACTGACAGAAAAGACCTTAAAATAGCATCAAACAAGAAGATGCCGATTCAAGGCAGTCGAAAAGAGGTTGCAGAGTTCCAGTGGCAACATACTGGAGAAGCTCAATCCATTTATCAGCAATGGCCATGTGGAGGCGATAATCAAATCCCACACCACCATCTTGGACAGGAATGCAGAATGTTGGCATTCCACTGACCTGTGAAGTAAAAAAGAAAATTATAAACATGAGCAAGCAGAGAGGTCTGGCATTGGATTAACTGGAGCTGTTGATTCCTCTAGGGGGCACAAACTTACATCTTCACCGATGCTAATAGCATCAGGGAAGAGACCATGAATCATATCATTAACAACCATCAGATATACCACAGCATCTATGTCAGTTGCATATCCAAAGTACTCGTTGTAGTTTCCAGTAAAAGTCATCTGCATCAAGTTGGAAAAAATAACCAAAGAAAATATCTGTCATTCAATCATAAGTCAAATAGAACACCAAACAATTAAGTTCCACCACCCATAGCCCTAATAGAGCTAAAAGGAAACATCAAAATAAGCATAATGAGCCTAGCCATGGTAGTCACATAAGGTTTAAGAATCAAGCATCTATAACTTTTATCCCTCTAATTGAGCACATCCTAGGCTTCATAGAACTCGAGAGATTGTTACCTGATCACACAAACAAAAATAATATACCCTAAAGAACCTAAATGATACCTGCAACCCATGGTGGGTGTACATCATCGAAGTCACACCATCAAATCTGAACCCATCAAACTTATATTCATCCAGCCACCATCTTGCATTTGAAAGAAGAAACCTCAGTACCTAAACCAATGAGCAAGTATTTAGTCCTCACCAACTATAAGAAAAAGACAAATGAAGACTAAAAATTCCAGACAAATACTGTAGCTGAAGATTCAAACAAGCACATACTTCCCAGCTGCCATAGTTGAAAAGGCGAGAGTCCCACATCCAATGATGTCCCCGTGAACCAGAGTGGAAGTAGTGATTATCAGTTCCATCGAACATATTCAAACCATCCAAAGTATTGTTCGATGCATGGCTGGATTCATTTGATATTAGTTGTCAACCAAACGAAAGATTATTACAAGGAGATCAAGTAATAATTGGTAATGAAAGTTCACTATGATTTATGGAATGAAAGATTGAATAAAAGCATTAAAAAAGTTATTTATCCAATCAAACAGAATAAGTGACACCCAAAATATTAGTAAGCGCACTTAGGAAAAGAGCTGCTATCATACCAAACTTGCTGAATGATAGCATGATGAGTTCACAAATGATAGGTTCTGTTCTTGCCCATTGTTGACTTAACTCAACGAATTGGTTTAGTGAAAATTAAATAAAAGCTACGGATTAATGAAGGTTATGATTCATGTATTCCTGCACATAACCCTAGATGAATGACTCTTCATCTCAAGATTCCAATTAATCTGCAGAACATATTCTTACTTTAAGATGGCTCAAACTTTTCTAATAAATACTAAAATACAAAGATGTAAATAGTGGTTATTCAAGAATAAACATTTGAAAGCCACTACACCCAAATAATAATTTCCATAATTCATGCATTTTTCAAGCTTGTTTCTCCCTCTTTTAACTTATAGATGTCAATTCGCCAAAATCATCAGAATTTAAAGTTTGAGTCGAAACCAGTCATTTATACATATTGTACTTAATGGAAAGTTACCTGTGAACAATATCCATGAGAACAAGCAGACCTAACTCGTGAGCTTTATCTATCAGAGACTTCAGATCATCAGGGGTTCCACACCGACTACAGGGTGCAAAAAAATTTGTGACATGGTACCTTCATATCATCGAAAGGAATTCGTGAGTTTACAGGGAAGCAAAAACTGCCCACTATGCTAATGAAGACCAAGCTTTGGGAAAATATACATGTAAAAGAAAAGAGGGGACTAATAGAAAGTGGAGCTTTATCCTAATTAAAGGAAATACCCGAAACTAGCATAATATGAATGCTCTTGAATAGCCATAATCTGAACAGCATTATAACCAAGTTTTTTGATCCGAGGAAGCACATCATCTCTAAAGTTGGCATATGTGTTGATTAATGGCTCCTGCATTTTAGAAGTGGCAAAATTAAAAGGGATAAAATGAAGAGGCAGCAAATTAAATAGGAATAAGAAAGGGAGAGATTAAAGAGTCCAAATAAAGGTCATGCCATAATGTATTAAGATCTATAACCTAACCATTCTCATCATGCACAGAGATTTCAACAAAATACATAAATTGTAAAAATAAGACGTGGTAATTGAAGGAAGGAAAAGAAGGAAATCAGAAGTATGTAGTAAAAATAATCACTATGACAGTATCCTGAACCATTGTTTTTGATTGATGTTTGTTCAATCATGCAAGGGCAAGAGAATATGGTTTCAGGCATATCGCATTGTCCAGGCTTTGAGGAGGACCAGAACCCTGAACAAGGTTGCTGGTACAGACCGCTGTTCTTTAAGAAAATGTCATCTTGCACTATTTGGCAGGATTACTGAAGCACGAGTATAGTGACTGATCATGGTCCATCATTATAGAGGCATTTGTAGATGCTTCTACCATGACAAGTCAAAGAAGCATTCTGCGTAAACTCCCAATTTCTTTTTAATAAATATTTGCCAAGATATAAAACAGCTCTAGCATGTTTGAACACCATCCAGTCATGAATGATTTTAATCACCGGTACAAAGACGCAGTGAATAAGAGCTTGTAACATGAGACATAATGGGAGAAGATGCACACCGTACTACTCATTCCGACATGAGCTTCATAAATCCTTAGTGACTTTGGTCTCTTTGGTTGAGGATGTTTGAATATATACTTTTCCTGCAAAGAAGCAAGCAATAGCATCAAGGTGCAAAGCCAGACCTCAAACAGAAATTATGAAGAAAATGGAATAGATTTTCAATCATTTAATACAATCTTGAGTGTTTTACAGCATAATGCTTGTTGGTTCTCAAATGAACACAGATTAAAGCCACAACTAATAACACAGATTATTTATGCATTTGGCTTCTACTCCAAAGTTTAAGTTTTTACATCTGATGCTTGTTCAATATGATGACTGATTTTATTGACCATTGGTGTTGTAGTGAGTAGCTTAAAGATTTCACTAAGATCACAAATGACAAGAGGCTCGTGACTTGTGAATTGCTGGACAAAGAAATAATCCAGGATGGCTTCTTCTGAGGATCATTCTTTTGTAGAATAATCTGAATCTTCAACTTGCTTCTTCTTCTTTTTCATAAATCAAGGAGTACTCTTTATTAGAAAGAAAGAAAAAGGAAACAAATATGGGTGATAAGGCAACACCAAGCCAGACAAAACTAAAGAGCACCACTACCACCATTATAACTCACATGGATGAAAATAAGACACGACAGCAAGCTACAACCTAGAGATAGCAAGGCCCAGCTAAGACAAACACACAGGGTAAAGAGCCTAAGATACTAAACAACCAACACAGCAAAAGTGCTGGGGGGCCCAAAGTTACAGCACAAGAAATTGGAAACATGCTTTCATACGACATAATGGTGCCCAGATCAGGAGAAACAAGGACCAACAGACCCAAGAAAGACTGCAATCAAAGGCAAGGAACTCTTCAATACCCTTCACAGCCAACCACACTTAATCATCATGAAGAATGCGTTGGGAATCTTTAAAAGGCCAATCTCTTCTCTTAACTACAATAACCAAGGTTTCATCTAAGTTCGAAGTCTCCAAGACTACATCAGTGGGCTCCGAGATTCTATCATCCATCACCATCTTTTCATCGTCTGCAACCATTCTTACTGCACTAAACATCAATTGATTTTAACTTTTTATACCTTCTAAGCAACATGGCTAATCTTTGAGAAAATAGCCTCGGGATACAAATATAGATGTTTCTTTTCTTTTTCCTGGCTTCAACCTTATTTCTTCTTCCCTTTCTCAACACAATTAAGGGAATATGAAAATCATCACTCAAAGAACTTTGGCTATAGTATGGTGCTGGAAACGAGACATGGGGCAAAGAAATTGGCAAGGGAGAAGTGTGAATCTTGTTATATTCTCATGGTTGAACAAATGAAGGACTGGAGAGCTGCTTGAGATAGGACTTAAGAAGTAAGCATAAAGAGTTGATCCAAACCAATCCAAAGGAGAAATAAAGCCTTCTATGCCATCTCCAAGACAAACTTCAGAAACACAAAGACCTTGACTGTGCATGCTGCCTAGGGGCCTCTGGCATTTCCCATGTACTTGAATTTCCCCTGTTTATCCATGGAAAGCCCATCTGCAGCATCAATGTACCCCTCTAATGGATTGTCTAGGTTGTTTGGAGCAACAACGTGTTACCATCTGCAATAGATTCTCCAACATGATATGAGAATCATTTGCATTGGAAGAATTGATGCTTATCAATGGTTGGCACATCTCATTGGGAGTGTAACACCTCCAGCAAAGGTGAAAAACAAGTGCTAATCTTCATATATTTGAACAACAAAACTACCACCATTGTTTATTACAGAAATGGTTTGATTGATGATTTTTCTATCCATGGCAATCATCAAAACTCAAGGCGAACAAAGGAGACTAAAGACCTGAAAACATCTGGGCAGTAAGCAGAAGAATCCCTATATTATCGATTTTATCTTGACGAGGTCCCTCATCTTTGAGATTTCTTAATTCAACCTTTGTACTATTGTTTTATCCATAATGTTATCACTAACGGTATTGTTTAACCAATAACTTTGAAATAGTTTTTGGAATATAATTATTTATATTAGAAAAATATCATATACAAAATAAGAAATAAATTATTTTAAAAAAATGTTATCAGCATAAAATGAAAATATGAGAACTATATAAATAAAAATGAGAAAACTATAACCAACTAATTTTATCATTCCTTGATTTATAATTACATTTTTACTAATTAAAAATTTTAAAACAAAAAAAAATTATGAAATTGAGTGAAAATAAAAAAAGAAACAAAAAGCTCAATTAAATAATAAAAATCCTTTCCATTACAACCTTTCATTATCACCCCCGTTTAAAAATTATAAGAAATTCAACTAAATCTCAAACAAACTTTTAGTTACTAGCATATCCCTCTATCATCAAACAACTATCTCTAAAAAAAGTTCATATAGTAAAAAAGTTGGAAAACACGTAACAAAATTGGATTTTTTAATGAAATACATAAGAATTGGACAAGTGGTTTGTAATAGATTGGTTTCCATGAAAAAAAATGGGAGAGAAAATCTAGATATGTCTTTTTTTCTAAAAACAATTTAGTTTAGATTTTGTTTTCATTTATTTTTTTAAAGTGAATTGATTATATTATTTTTTATTAGTTTAATTTTCTTTTTAATTTATAAAATGATTAATTATATGCATGGGCTAATAATCATTGTTAGGACTTTAATATTTATAATTTTAATGTTTGTAAGCTTTTAGAATTCATTATCTATTTCTTATTTTTTATGACTTTTTTCAAATATAAAAGAGCATATTCCAAAATTAACAGACAAAGAACACCATAAGTAACAGGTGGACCAATGGTATTGACGAATCAGTAGTACAGTGATTGGATTAAGAAATTTAAAAAAATGAGTGTCATTAAAACAATATTGATAATATAAGACTCTTGAGCTCATTCACCCCAAATATAACGATCTAAACCAATATCTTTGCTATCCATGGTCTAACCAATCATAAATAGAAACCTAACTAACCACTAACAGTTTAGAGCATTTGACCCGTATCGTCAGGGAAGTCAAATGTAAGCTGCAACGATACCTCCCATAGGTCTTATTTTGCAATGGAATGGACCAGAACTTACTATGGCAGTGTCACTTTAGGAGTATTTATTATAACAACACTTCTTTTGAGCCATTCCAAATCTTCTTTCTGCACATGCACCAGCCTGTTAGATCATTAATAACCGGGTCTGATGGCTCCAAGGATGTGTTACTAGATGCAACAGTACCAGCACCTAACAATTTCAGCAAAAGGCTACTCTTTGCTGAGTTATTTGGATATTTAAATTGACCGTTGAAAAATTGGCATTGATCAATAAGTTGTTTTGGAAAACCTTACTAGCCCTTGTAGTCTTAGCATGATACACATACTGATTCCTTTTTAATCTAAGAAAGGAGATTCCCCAACCACCCAAACAGATGCAGAAAGCCCATCTGGTCTTTGAAAGTGGATGGATCATGTGTATATGGAACTGTTAATTTAAATAATTGAATTTCCCAGGATTCAAGCACCTGACTATACGGTAATTATGATTCTAATACTAGACCAAGACACTGTCCGGCCTTGTATTTCAGCAAGTACTTTCTGTCCCTCCCTTTCTCTATCAATCTTCACCTCACAACCATGTAAAAAACCATACTGCCATCCACAAACCCTTCTCCCCTCGTACACTCCTCAAACTATCCATCCAAACATAGCCAATCTTCCTTGCACTCCTCATCCTTTATGCTGAAAAACTCCCCTAAATCTCAAGACCTTTGAAATGCTTTCTTACCCTTGAGGCGGTCTGAAAATACTAATAATGTTTGACTTGTATGGCTCTAACTAACAATTTTAAACTTTGAAACCCAGTCATTTTTCAATAGTAATATACAGTAAAATTAGAAAGCGAGGACATTATTTGGTGCAACATTTTGAAAACTTGGGGGGTTATTCCTTGATTTTCTAAATTCTCAGTCTCCCAAACCAAGTGCATAGTTAGTTGTTTGAGGGGTCACTTGCCTAAAAATCTGTGGCTTAGGATTAGGATCAGCACTGAGAATTCCTTTTCCTGAACTCTCAAAGGCTTGCTTAAATTATTGCTAACATTATTTTTTAGATTGACATTTTCTGTTGCCTTAACCTAAGTTCATGATAGTGTATGCAAAATAAAGGTCCAAATCATCACAATATATTCAGCAACCATGAGAAACCCAAGCAAGAAGTGTACCTCCTCAGGTGGATCATAGTAAATGCCATTGTATGGGATTTCTCCTGGAGCCTGTACTGAGAACTTAATCCAAGCAGGAATAGAATCTTTAATGCCAGAAGGAGTATCCATGCGTATCTACAAACACGCAATCAAAAACAGATTCACCATCTTTGATGTATTTAAATAGTGGAGCAAAGTTTTTAAAACTAAACAAGCTCAGGGCCTTGAATAATACTTATAATCATCTCCTTTTGCAGCTGACTGAAAATGAAAAGATCTAGCTTAAATTAAATGCAAGAAACTAATATGAAGCTGAAGCCAATACCATACATTCGGTTTGTTTTTCTTGTGTTATGAATACTGAATAGCAAAGTTAAGAAGACAGAATTACACTGCCAAAAGATCCTTTTCTTGTTGTGTAAAAGAGGCTTGATTTCACATGATATTCACTGGGTGCTGAGCAAGTGGCTGCTGGTATTATTTTAAAGTTCAAGAAAACAACCAGATGAGACAAAAAATCCTAGAAGCTCTCACTTTGCATGGAAATGCACATTTTTAGACTTCAAATGAAAGTCGCAAACTTATTTCTCTTGCTTGCCAAAAGTGACTCAGTCGTGAGCAATGAGTATCAAGTTTAATGCATAAACTCTAATTTACACAGTAGATTTCAGTATTCAATCTTGTGAAGTGTTACCTTTACTCGAGAACCATGGGGAATTGGTGGTGAACCATCTGCATTGTTTGGAAGGAACACTTCCCAGACACCAAATTCATTCTGTAAAATAATAAATCAGTTGCTGGGAATTTAAATAGTACAATAGATCTAACAAGGAAAAAAAAGGAGTTTAAACACAAGTATGAAGATATTACATCCTGCAAACACCCATCATTATGACATATTATTACTGGCTTCTTTTTCGACCCAGACTCTCAACAATATGTTAATTAAACATCCTAGTACTAGCATGCATTACTTGGACATATCCTTGAAGCTTTCAGATTCTACTACAGATTCAAACAACAGTAAAATGAATAGTTTTCCCAGTTTCCATTTCCACACAAAGACATGTCAAAGCAATATTTACATTTTCTTTTCTTTTCCATTGCTGAAGAAAGAATGATCAGAAAAGGAAAATGAGAAAGGCAGGAGTTGGAATAGACAGATAGAATCCATAGTAGAGCAATCCAATATAAAGATTTCCTTTTTTCTCCGTCAATAAAATGAGTAATGTATGTGTTTATGTAAACAGAATCAGAAAAAAATGAGCAGATAGTAGAAGACTGTTGCTGTGAAGTGTACAGGAGAAGAAAGGGAGACAAAGCTTCAATGCACTTTACCAATCATTTGAAAAGATAACAGACAATTCCAACAAGTATAAATAATACCATTGGAATTATGCAGAAAATATCCATCAATGGATCCAATGCTACATAAAGCAAAAGCATAGATAACATACCCGGGTCATGACATCTGCATTGGGATTCCAATTGTTAAAATCTCCAATCAATGCTGCCCACTGAAATAAATAGTAACTAGTCAATGTACAAACATATTTGTCAGGAACAAAAAACAATCATCTCATAGCCAATCAATTTGTTAGCTTGAATCAGTTCAGAGGGACATTGTCTCTGACTAAAATGCTGAACAAAAAAGCAGCCTCTCATGTAAATTTATAGAGGCTTATGCTATTAACAGCATATGCCCTTTGTTTGTGCCTGAATATACATCCAGTTGTTCAGTACTACAGGAACCATGACTAAACAGATCAGATTTGAGAATAGGCAGTCATGAGATAACTGCCTTCTCTGAGATTTACTATACAAACTAAAGACCACATGACAGAGAATCGAAACAGCACAGACCTTAGCTCCTGGTGCCCATTCCCTGTAGGTTATTCCTGTTTGACTGAGAAACCAGTAGAAATTACAATCTGTGAGAATGAGATGTGCCGAGGAAACTAAAATTGATTGGCTATAAAGAAAAAATAAACACTAGAATAGCAGACTAATGGTTTTTTTAAGATAAAGCATGATAAAAGGTAATGAAACAAATAGAGCATATATGAAAACAAACAAGTGATGAGCAAGTAAATTAAACAATTGCCATCACAATGAAGTGAGAGAACTCAGTTTATGCAATCAATACATGGGACTGGTACAACCTTATAATCTTTATAAGAGGCCTGGCTAGGACATGGGAATTTTTTTCCCATTGCTTTGTTCTTGAACCACAACATGCATACAGATCTGCCTAAATCTATCCAAATGCACTATTTCTACATTTGTGAAGCTTAACCCTTGGTACAAAATTTTAGTCAGTTTTTTTCCCAGTTCATTTGATGACCCATCTAGTCAGAGATTTTTTTTCCAAGTTCATTTGATGACCCATCCCTCATCTTTGCAGTTTGGGGGCTATGCTTATCCTTAGAACAAGAGTCACTGAACTAAAAGAAAAAACAAAAAAAGTGTCACAACACTAACAGAAAATTCTTGTGAGAACCTCTGATGTTGAAAACAATCAACTCAAGGGCCAAAGTGTCACCACACTAATAGAAACATTTGCAATGCAAAGCAAAATCGCGAGAATTTCTGTTGTGTTTTCCACTTTTGAGATCATCTTGTCACTAGTTTCATTTTTTGATATAGCTCATTTACTTTGCAAAAGAAAATACAAGTGAAAACACATTGCATTATGTAACAGCAACAATGGAATGGGCAATTGGTTGAGCCAAAAAAAACTAGAAAATGAATGGACTTCAACCTAAAGAAATAAAAAAGGTAGAATACCTGCGTATGAAACCAAGCTTTTCATAGCCACGAGAAAACACTTCCAAACCACCTTCATACTTGTCAATTTCTTCACGAATTCTTTTGTACTCTGAATATCTACGATCAGGAAAAGATTAAATTAGCTATAGAATGTTACAAAAACTTTACCAACATCTTCAAAATCATACCTTGAAAATACACACACACACACACATACGAACAAGCTAGTCTAAAGATAGCAAACGTCAAACAATTGTACTATAAAAGAGAGAATACATGGAGCACTTCTCTCCAGGCAGCAGTTCTCATGTTTCTAAACAAAGAAATAATCACACCTCAACCTTACAACAAGACTTGACAAACATATCATATATTAGGTCCTTTCAGGAAAAAATAGCACTTGGGTTCATTGGTATGACTCTGACAGCATTGAAAACAACAAACACCTTTTCATGCAATATCTTGCATGATTTTAGTGAAGAAAAAAATTAAGATGTGGGCTAGGACATAAGTTGATTACACTATCCATATACAGAGAAAATAATGAAAACAATAAATGGATATGGAAAGAAAATACAGTAAAAATTTCTAGGTGATGCAGAGGTATCCAAAGTGAATATCCGCAAATGCGGATCTGGGGCTTGCTCCACTTTTTACAGAAATATATGTCTAATGAGGTGTGGAACTCTGCTGACATGAACACTAGCATACCATGGCACAAAATGAATTAGTATCTAATATAAATTGAGAAAAGACAAATCCAAGACAGTCTTCAAAGAATTAAGTAAACACACTTAACAAATTAGTTGAAACTTCATATGATATTACTCTTTGTTTATAAGAATCATCAGGGCAAAAAATGTTGAGGACTGGGGAGGAAAAGATGTAGAGGGATATTCATTTGAAATCTTAGTCTGCTATTTCAAGCTATTGTTTAAATAGATACTTATATAGTCCTACTTTATCTAAAGGTTGAAATAGAAATATGTCTAAAAAAATGCAAGAAATATCTATTGGAGTTTGATCTTTAACATGAATGCAGACTGATGATATCATCAAATAAATGAAAACAGGCACCTTAAAAAATGTACTTCTAAAAAACAATATTAAGAAAGCTAATGATAAATGTTGATGCTGAGAATTATCACATGTGATCACCAAAACTTCAGTATATAACATGAAGCGCCTGCTCTTTTACTTCAAGCTCTCAACCCTTACTTCAACGTAAAATATCTTGCACGAGTAAAGATAGAGTATCTCACCGGTAATCAAGGTGTTGACGGAAACCTGTCAAACTTGGATCTATTTCATATATTCTCTGCCCAGAGCCAGGTGGGGGGATAGACCTAGATTTGGCTTCAGTTTTACCAATGATTCTTGACTCACTCAAAGGAGTAGATGTCTCCTGCTTTTCCTTGTCTTCAACAATCTGATTATCTTCCATTGTTAGACACTCTACATCATGAGGTACCTAACACGAGAATCAAACAGGTAAAAGGAGACGCTGATTTAAGTGGGAATTGAATATCAACAGACATTAAATCTATCAACACCGTTTTCTAGCAAAGGCATCAAGAAACTAAAGAATAAGCAAGATAGACCAATCAGCCAACCACAGTTTTTCACACACACTGTAAGAGCACATGACTTTAGTTGCACCAAGCATCTTTGTCAAAGCAGCTGTCATCATGAGGATGACAGTCAAGTAGGCCTATAACTTCAACGATATCTAGATTGATCCTGCAATGTGTTTCAAAACGTGCAAATGCAAATTCTCAAAATGAGAATCTATGACCCACACCTTCCAAAATCTCAGGCCTTTCTTATATTTATATTTTTCCAAGATCAATTCCAAGACTTTATAGTATTGGAAAGATCACAAGATCCTGATGAAGCAAGAACAATAGAAGAGCCTATATAATACCTTTAAATTGTCACAGTTTTTAACATCTGGCATGTAAATAACCATGCTTGAGGTTGAAGTTGAGACTAAGTTTAGGCTATCCAAGAGTTCCCAATTTTTTTCATCCTGTAACTTCCTTTTAAATGTTCAAATAGCAATTCTATCCTCTCTCATTCTCAAGTCACCAATGGTGCCTCACAGATCCTCGTGTTAGTAATGAATTGCATTGTGGTTACTTTGCACATTACATGTCCATATACAAGAAGCCACTTCTTGCCATCTGGCAGGGGATAAGAAATTAAAAAGAAAAAGAAGAAGAAGAAGAAGAAGAAGAAGAAGAAGAAGAAGAAGAAGAAGAAGAAGAAGAAGAAGAAGAAGAAGAAGAAGAAGAAGAAGAAGAAGAAGAAGAAGAAGGATACAGATAAAAGAAATTGTTGAACCAAAGAACAGCTTTTCATGTTAATGTAGCCTACGCTTTCTGAGGATGAGAATTTCCCAGAAGCATATAATAAGAATGAAGTAATCGAAATCTAAAGGGTTAAAAAAAAAAAGACTTGGGAATATGCACATAGAAACAAGTGGAAAATATCCATAGAAAATTCATCCGTGCCCTTCATTTTGATTAGAATATATAATAGCTCGTACAGCTCAATGGCTCGTGGAGAGATTACTCGTTCTAAATGAGGCAAGGGAGTAGGTCCACCATAAAGTAATGGTATTGGCTCCTACTGTAGGTGGTAGTAATAAAATAAGAAAAAAAATCTTCAGAAAATAAAAGGTGGGAGTCGACTCCAGTTCTCAATTTCCAGGAGTCTTGAACACAAGGGTTTTGCTCCACATCATTTTGCTTCTTCTTTTTTTTTTTTGTGCTTTTCCCTGTAAGGATCTCATTTTCTTTAAAAATCAAATGATAGAACATAATTTGTTTTCAAATGCAAAACACTCTAAACTGAGAATCAACAGCATGCGTCATATAAATAGTACGCAGCACGTGGACAATGAGAAGACAAACCAGAGGATCTTCTGAAGCGTTTCCATCGAGTGGGACAAGGACTTTCTCAGGTGTCGGTGTGGTTGTTGTTGTAGCAATAGAAGTAGTAACAGCTAAATTTGGGGAATCGGAATCGTAAGACGACTTTCCAGCAAGCATCTTCACTGCAAACAAGATCATTGATCAAGATTCAAAACCATTTAAATATATATATATATATCGAAAAATAAAAGGCAAAACCATTGGCAGAAAGATAGAAGAGAGAGATACGAGAAGATGGGTCTTTCTTCGAGAAAAAGGAGAGGCCCTTTCGACACAAAGGATCGCCATTGAAACTTGATTGAGACTTGGTGATGTACACTGAAGGAAGGCAAGGAAAACGTACGCCTGATACAGCGCAGGACACCATTTCTTTCCTTTCTCTTCTCTTTCTACGACTAGAGATCTAGCTATAGCTTAGTACTTAAAAGTGTGAGCACCGAATAATAATAGTTAAAAGAAAATAAAAAAGGTGAAGAAGATGAAAGCGGAAGCAAGAGTTGCGTGAAATCCGATATTAGAAAGATTTGTAGTGTTATTATTATTGTTATAGGAAACCATCCAGTGGCAGAGTGTCGTACATAATACGTGTGCAATGGAGAATGGGGATGGGGTTCTGTGGGTCCTATCACTGTATCAGAATCATTCTCCATCGTCCATCTCACTTCTATCTCTCTTTTTTTATTCAGCATCCACTCCATGTGGGCCCCTTTTGCTTTCATTTTATGCTACGTGTCACTGGCAAAAGATCAGAAATGAAAGGCCTTGGATGTACGTGTGGCTGTTAGTGGGCCATCTCTCCGTCCGGGGAAAGGAGGCCTTTTTGCCATGTTGATTGAGTCTCTGTTCTCCGATGGATCTTTTTGGTACATTCTTTTTCCTTCCTTTCTCTCGTTAACTTTTTCCGTCTATGAGGATTTTTTCCCTTTTTCGAAAAGTATCACTGTTTTTTTTTTTTAATTCGTAAAATAGCAAAATTAAATAAAAAAATGGTGAGATCAGACCTTTTAAACATGTTGCAATTTAAAAATAAGTAGTAGTCACGATTTAGAAACCTGATATTTTAAAAAATATATATAATAAGATATGTTGTAGTTTAAAAATGAGTAGTAATCAAGATTTAGAAACCTAATATTTAAAAAAATATAAAATAAGATGTATAAAAAATATAAAAAAATAGATTTTAAAAACAATTTAAAACTTCAATTGCAACCCTGATAATATTATTAAAAAAATCTTAATCACATAAATTCAATAATATTAAAAAAATTATAAATAACAATCAAATACTTGCTACCAAAGACAATTGAGCTAGTCACAGCTTTTGAACAAGAGTAACCCAATTATGTTATTTTTGGTGACTTCTCCTAGTATAGTTAAATTTATTTTGTTAAAAATTTTTTAATAATATTAAAAATATCATAATTGGAGTTTTGGTGCATCTTAAATGCCTTTTTCTCTCTCTCATCATTGTATTTTATACAATTCATTTTATAATTTCTTTTAAATATCATGTTTTTAATTAGTTTGAATATCTTATTTTTCAATTAGAATGTATATAAATTGTGTTGTTTTGCTGATCATTTTTCTAACTGTATTATATTATTACTTTACTATACATTCTCTCATGAATTTTTATTTACTGTTCCCTTAATTTTTTTAATCTTCAAGCTGCAAGATTTTTTCAATTTGGACTTGGAAGATAATTTTTTGTTGTCTTAGGTTTTTATGTTCTCTTTAGATTTCATTTTTACATATGCTCGAGATTATGGAAATTATTTTGACATTTCATGACTAGTTGATTTTGCATGAAAAAATTTAAAATTATTGTATATGACAAGATTAAATTAATTATTTTTATTTTTCAATATATAATTTATTAAAAATTAGTTTTTATATATTTTTTTATTAGGTTATTCTGATTTTATGTTTATGATCACAGAATTTATAAAGTTAATTCAAGTTTATTCATATTTTTTTCAGTTGCTTTTCAAATTATTTTTTTTTATTTTTTAATATTGAATTATTCGATAATTGAATTTCATGATTTCTTTTAATTTTCTTTTAAACACAATTATCTTGGTATTAGATTGGATCAAAGATTTTGTATTTTGATTTAGATGGGACCGAATCAAGTTTTTTTTTATCTTTTTTAGTTATATGTATTTTTTAATTTTTATCTTTCAATATTTTATTTTCTAGAGATTAAGCTTTATTTTATTTATTTTATTTTTTTATAAAATTATCAAATTCTCATTTGATTTATTAGAAATTAATTTTTGAATTTTTTTCCCATTTTTTTTTTTGAGATTATCCTAATTTTATACTCAGGATTGTAAAGCTTGTGAGTTAACCCGGTTAAATTGAGATTTTATTATTATTTTTTATTAATTTTATTCATTTTTCTTTTTAATATTAAATTATTGATGATCTGGGCCTGGATGAAGTTTTTTTTATCTTTCTTTAACTATTATTTTTTTTTCAATTTATTTATTATTGCTACGTTTTTCTAATCACCCTATTTAAAATACTAATTAAATCAATCACCCGTATCTCAAGTTTTTTTCCTCTCTTTTTTTTCGCTGAAAAAAATTTGGTGGGTCCGTGGACGTATCTAATATCAAATCTATTTTGAGCATAAAAGTCTAGATCCACAAAACAAGACTAGTACCTTTTGAAGATTTTCCAAGGTATCAATGAAAATGCCATTCGTGGGTGACCAAAGTACTAATTCTTCCAACAACGGAGAGGTTCGAATATAAAGCTTCTAGAAAGAAAGAGATTCTGATGGATGCATATTAGTGCTTGTTGTTCTCGGCCAAAAAACAAAAAGCCCAAGCTTTTTTTCAACGAAGAACTGAATCTAATGCATATCTCATGAAGGGAAAAATAGAAAAGTTGTTGTAAAAAGGAAAGGAAAAGAAAAGAAGGGACTGAACTAAACATTTGATTCAGCTTGTTGATTCTGCAGTAACACATCTGTTGACGTTTTATTAATAACTGACCTTGTGAGAGCCAGTTCAAAAGAATGCTATAGTAATACACACGAGATCGAGAGGGTAAAAAGAAAAAAAAATAAAAAAACAAGGCCAAAAACAGGGGTGACGTTTAGCTTCCCCATCAATGAATAATTACACCTTTGATTTTCTGTATTATTGAACTGTTCTAGGACTATAGTAGTGAAGCTGTAGGTTTTATCTCTTCTGGAAGTTGAGGAACTTGATACCATAGGAAAACAGAAAGAAGAAGAGGACAACCCATCCAAGATGGGCGGCAGCCACGGCAGGAAGAAAGTCATATTCAAATCCCAAGTATCCTTTGAGGAATTGCTTGATTGGCACATCTTCAGACTCGCCAGGTACGCTGATTTCATTGGTTTTTTCACCCACTTGAGATGTCACGAGGCCGTATAATGTCCAAGCTACTGGAGAACACCAGTAGTACCACCTCCACCAAATAGGTATTTGCTGTCATGAATGAGCAAAATTATTAGTTTTTATTTACACAAGGAAACGAGGGTTTAGGGTGGAAAGCGTGCATCATCATTCATCAATTATAAATAACAACATTGCGAATGATTTATTAAATATAATGCAGCTGAGTTTAAGATTACTTACAGGCCTAGGAAGAAGGAAACCAGAGAACAAGTTCCAGAAGGACGTGAAGAAGGACATGCAAATGGCAGCAATTTGTGGGGCAGGGGTCAATGCAACAACCATCATCCCAAACAATGTGAAGTAAACAAAGCACATGAATATGAAGTAGTAGAACCACAAGAACTTTGCAGCCGTCCACTCGAAGCCCATCATGGAGAAAAGGATAATGCTATAAACAATAGTTTGTACTGCTACATAAATTGCTTCTATAGCCACCTGCAAGAAATTATCCCGTCAGGATGAAAGCATGTATAACGACATTAGAGTCCTACCGATGGTGAATTAAGAAAAGGATGGAGGATGGTGGTAGAAATTGTCCCGTAAATTAAAAGAGGCTTCCCGCATATTTTTACCTGCGCAAAAGCGTAAGGCATTGGGGAGTACATTCCAGCTGCTCTTTCGCGATAGAAAACTGTTCTCTCAATAGCAATTATAGACTGCACCCCCGCAGCATTGGTTGCACCAAGGAAAAGCACCGCCGCGTACATGGCTCCGAAAACATTCAATAGATCTTGCTGGCTAAATCTGTTAACAAATCAAATATACCCGTCAGTATGAGTGCAGAATTGAAAGCAAGAAGATAACACATGGCACTCAAAAAATGTGCAAGTTCTCAAAATCAGGAACGTTTCCCTCTCTTTTGAACAAAATACAGGCTACTCCTGCTGTATACTGGTAATAAAGTAAGCAATAAATAGTATGGGTACAACAATTATTTTTCAAGACAGAATTCAAAGCCTTACGTCTTCTGTCCTTTGTCCCAAAAGATGAGACCGAATATTATTCCAATGGCTAATGTCATGAACAGACGAATGGCATTATAACGAGGGTTCCTCCAGTAAGACCAATGCTGTTTCCAGAAACAAGCTTTGCATTGAGTAAGAAAAGTTTGGGAGTATTGAGTTTGGAAGTAGAGATCCTTGGATCCTGGTGCTGGTGTGCTTAGCTCTTTGATAATTTCCTGATTCCTCCTGAAAGCATTTCAACATAGGAAATAAGAAGAAAGCTACAAAAACTCCAGGCAATGCATGGCTATCATGATATATCCAGGCTTACTGATAGAGAGAGGAGTTGGCATATTGTTCTGCGAAGTCTACATCCAGTTGTGCCTCCATTGAAGGAGCACTAATTTCGAGCATCCATGTTGCAGGGTTATATGCATCTTTTATCTTGGGAACACCTGGGATAGCCTGTATTTAAATAAAAATATTAGTTAATATCATAATTTCTGTCGATATGGATGCTTTTGATAATGGTTGTGCGGAATGGCTCAAAATGATCCTTGGAGCCAACCTCATCTAGTTTGGGATTGAGGCTTGGTTGTTAGATCACAATTTATTTCGCTAGAACTTGAAATAACATTCTACAGTATTAGACTACTTGATTTCAATGCCTCGGAAGTGGGAATGATCAGGAGACATGCATGGACATAAGGCACGATTAGTAACCCTACTATTTATTCCCCAGAAGAAAGGAAAAATTCTCTCTGATGCTAAAGGAATCATAGATGGAAACAGGACAGGAGAAATTGTCACCTCAAAATATTCTATGAGCTTGTGAGAACGGTGACCAAGAGATCCGGCATAAATGACTTGACCTCCTCTTTTCATCAACAACAGCTGGAACAAGAAAAATATCAAGTTGCATTCAAATTTGACACGCATAAAAAAAAAAAGCGGGGGAAACCAAAATCAAAATCAAAATCAAAAGGCAACATTCAAAAATTTGAAATTTACCTCATCAAAAGCTTCAAAAATGTCTATGCTAGGCTGATGAATGGTGCACACAACAGTTCTACCTGTGTCCACAGTGTTTCTGACAGTACGCATCACAATAGCAGCAGCTCTAGCATCAAGACCAGAAGTTGGCTC